CCCGGAAGAATGATACGTTCGGCTTTTTTCCATTGAGCAACTCATAAGCGGTCTTACCAAGAAACTTTTGAAGAAATAGGCGATTGGATGCATAACATGCGGTGTTGATAGCTTCCGCCCATAGAGCTTCAGGTGTATTGTACTCATCAAGCATTGTTCTTGCAAGGGTGATAAGTGTTCGGTTCTTTCTCTCTACTACACCATTTTGTTGAGAAGTGTATGTTGTGGAGATCTCATGCTTGATCCCTACTTCATCACAATATGCTTCAATATTTGTGTTGTCAAATTCTTTTTCATTGTCACTTCTTATCTTCTTGAGCTTTACTTCAAATTTATTTTGTGCTCTCTTGGCAAACTTCTTGAAACATGCGGCCACTTAGATCTTGTCATGAAGAAAGAACACCCAAGTATATCTAGAGTAGTCATCAACTATCATAAGGCAATAGAGATTTCCTCCCAAACTCTTGTAAGTTGTTGGTCCAAATAGATCCATGTGAAAAAGCTCTAGCACTCTTGTTGTTGACATATAAGCTTTTGTTGGATGAGTGTTTGCAACTATCTAAAGAGGGTGTTTATAGCCTTTGCATTTCACTTCTCGTAGTTAACCTCATTGTCTTGAACGTTGGTGGGATCCTTAGGTTTTGGGAAGCCTTGTGAGGCGGCTCTAAGAAATCCAACATCTAAAGCCTCTAGGTATGCCTCCATGCGAATTTTCTAATAAGAAAAATCATCTACCTCAAAGATAGGAGAGGGTCCATCCATGTGGGACATCTTACTTTAGGCGGTTAAGCCTAATTTAGGGAGCACGAGACTCCGATACCAATTGAAAGGATCAAGATGTCCAAGAGGGGGGTGAATTGGCTAATTCTAAATTTTTTGCAATAATTAAGCACTACACTTAGCCCATTTCACCCCTTGTGTCTAGAATTTATTTCTATTGTTCTCCCATACAAAAGTTTTGCACCCTAGGTTTCAATCTTACTCTAACATGGCAATTCTAGGAATGTAAAGATATGAAATGAGTTGCTCAAATGTAAATGCTCAAAATAAAGAGAGAAAAAGGAACACGGTGATGTTTTCCCCGAGGTATCAGAGAGTCGCCAATCCCCACTAGTCCTCATTGGAGCACCCACGCAAGGGTGTAGCTTCCCCTTGATCCACACAACGATCAAGTGCTCTCTATGGGCTGATTCTTTGACACCCCGTCACGGTGAATCGTCCATAACCGCTCATAACATGACTTAGGTCATCCACAAGCTCCACCGGATGATCACTAAGCTCCCAACCACCAAGCCATCTTGGTGATGGCGATCACCAAGAGTAACAAGGACAAACTCTCACTTGACCAAGATAGGCCTAATGAGAAAGGTGTATGCATACTTGCTACTCCCTATGCACTAAAGAGGTCCTTAATCTTGGATTATCAAACCTCAAATGGACGAGCGGGATATGTATTTATAACCCCATTCAAAACATAACGGTTGAGGTCCAACTCAGCAAGTATCGGGATGACCGGACGCTCCGGTCAAGGTGACCAGACGCACCAGTCGGTGTAATACGTCAGCGTGCCAGAAAGAGTCGTTTGCTCTGATCGGACTCTGGCCTGCGTCCGGTCAGCACCCATCGGACGCGTTCGGTCATCAAAAACCCTCTATGGAACCTTACTATTGTTGACCGGACGTTGGCACCTAGAGTCCGGTTATTTCTCTGTTCAGCGTCTGGTCCGTGGTCAACAGCCTGTCCATGCTACTACAGATATGGCTAGTGTCGCGTCCGGTGAGCACTGGTGTCCAGCGTCCGATCGCACTCTGACTGCTGATGCCGATTAAATGAACTGACTGGATTCTCCAAGCTACGCCCGGTCATAATCAAACCAGCGTCCGGTCAGTCATTTGACTCTTCATTTACTTCCAATTCAAAATTCTTTGTGAATAAAGTTGACTTCTATCGATCTTAGGGCTATTCCTGAGCTACCTAGTGCTAAAGTTTGACAAGTGTGCACCATACCTAATCCATTAGACTCACCTAGATTAAGCTACTAGTCCATACCCCCCTTAATAGTACGGCTAAAGGAAAAATAAAGTCCTATACTACTCTAAGTGTCTCTCTAACACCAAACAACACTTAGAACTAGTCCGTCCTTAACTTTCTCGTCCATCCTTTGAAAACCGAAACGATTTCCATCAACAGAGGCATGACAACCATGATTGCCCAATCAATTTCTATTACTATGACATCACTCAAATTGCTTCTGCAAAACACACGTTAGTCATAGTAATCTCGTGTCGTCATTAATCACTGAAACCCAACTTGGGGGCCTGGATGCTTTCAAGGTGTGAGTTGGGCGCGCGACGGACGGAGAGAGAGGAGTGAGCGGCGCAGGGTAGAGGGCACGGTGAGAGAAGGCTAGAACAAAGAGCAGAGTGAAGCGCGGTGTTCGGATGGGACGGACAGTCGTGGCCCAGCACTACTGTTTTTATTTTCTAAAAAAACAGTAGAGCATATACATCATTGTGTCCCCCTCGCATTTGTTTTTTATATAAATTAAAGAACCATCGTGTCTCTGTTCTAGGCCAAGCCAAGCTGCCAAGCCTAGTACGTTGCTGTGAGCAGACGAGCACTACATGTCACTAGTCTGGGCTAAGCTATTGCTAATGGGCCCGTCTTCTTGAGCAAGCAGAGCTTAGTGGGCTTCTCTTGCTCTCTGCCTTGCACTGCACGCGCACACAAACACAAAACACACACTCCTCTGGATTCTAGAGTTGAGGCTTTTACCTATAAGCCATTATAAAAGATTGCAATTGTCTATAAGTCACTAAAAATCCGAGCGGTCATAGATGCCACAGATCGAAACTTTTTTATCGTCCACGCCATTCCGTCGACATCTGCTACTAACGGTGTCAAATGGAGCTGCGAAAAGTCAAAACTGTCCTCTGGCTAGAGTACCTTGCTGGAAGTTGCGTTTTCCTCCCGTGCCACTCCCTAGTCCTGTGGCTTTGGCATTCGTCTGAAAGTGTCAACTTAGAGCTTAATTAACCACTAATCTGAAGCGCAAATGACCCTGACCCCTTAATAAAAGTCATAGAGCTTAGGGGGAATGACAACTTTGTTGCAGCGGCCTAGACCGAATCAAAGTGAAATATGCCGCAAATGAGATTCCAAGATGCCTACTCGGACGTCTGACCCAAAGGATTATCCACATACAGCATAGAAGATCACCAAATAGCAGACGGGTTTGGATACCCAGGCTCACTCACAAGTATAGTAAAGCCTACTATGCTTTTACAAACCAAGCAAGTTTTGCTTTATATTAGCAATTTTATAGCACCATAGGACCGATGTCCTCGAACTGCTTTGTGAATTAGAATCAATCCTTTTTTCAGAGGAACCTCTCACTACAGATTAGCCTGAGGAGGCCATCTCTTGTCTGACGCGCTACATCCTTGACAGCTCCAGGACCATGGGGATGAACACTAAAGAGGACTTGGAGGAGACCCCAATCTCCTTCATGGTATTGAAGTACTGGACTACTGGGTGACCAGGACCATGTCCATGATGCCCTTGGCTGTGGTGCCTGGAACCTTCTTTGAGAAGGCGAGCACACTGTCCCTCAGCCCGTCCACAATGGCCTGACGCTGCCTTGCAATACCCACGCCACCCAGCCAGCCAGGCACTTGGATTCCGCCTCTCCTTCGGCTTTCTTGATCTGGAGTATCTTCTCAGCCACAACGCCAAACTAGCCCCACTATCGTGTCCGCCGCGTCGTCCTCCACGCATGGCGCAAGCTTGCCGAGCTGGGTGGCGTCAGGGGCCAATGAACGCCGCTGCCGGCCGCAGCCAGTGCACCACCGAGAGCTCGCTCCTCCAAGCCTCCTCCACCCTAACTGCTTGCTCCCTCGCCTTCCCTATATCCCCGCGCATGCGCCGCTCTCCGTTCCTGTTCGCCACCGATGCCGGAACAACCCAGGCCGCCACTGGTATGCTCTCCGCCGTGCCATAGGCTCGCGTGGCCAGGAGGCCACAGACCATTGCTGCCATGTGATGAGCCCCCCTCATGGAGTGCGGCCTATCGTCGCGCCATTCTGCAGCAACCTAAATCCTTGCGACCGCTGGTCGCCACCGGCCAGGATTTGGCAAGCGGAGCCCGATCCCTTGTCGCTGCGTCTGTTGAAGAAGAAGGACGCGCCCGTAATAGAAACGATGGCATGAGCGAGTAGGGGCATGGCTCAAGCAGGCGACGGTGGCTCCAGCAGACGAGCACTGACGCGAGCGAAGCATGGCCAGTGCGAGCAAGCGGCGGCAATGAGCAAACAGCGGGCCTTGACGAGAAGCAATCGGTGGAGGGCGGCGGAGGAGGAGGCGATCGGGTGGGCTAGCCGCGAGGCGGGGGCGTGCCCCATGAGGCGGAGGATGGTGCGAGAGGATGCTACGGGCGGGCAGGTGGATCGGGTGAAGGAGAAGAGGATAAGGTACGAAAGGAGAGGGGCATTTTAGACATCTTCTTGGACCGAGGCCCCTGTTTGGTTGAGTCCACGGGAAAAAAAGTGCCATCTAAGTGTGAAAATTGTGAAAAAGATGGTAATAATTGTGAATGTAGAAAAGTGAAACTAATTTAGTTAAACAAGTATAAAATATGGTTTATGTTTATCTCTCTTGAAACAACTATGGAAGGCTTTTTATTCCACCAATTTCAAAAGGTCCAAAAGCCAAACGCCAGGTCAACCCAAATTTTCAAAAATGAACTGAAAAGAAGTTCCTTACGAAAAAGCACCTCAAAAGCAGCCCTTTGATTCCACCCTTTTTCCATCAGGGGGATCAAAGAGATGAACAAGTCCCATGTCGGGCATCTAAACGGTTAAAATTATATGAAAGATGGACAGAATGGGGTTGGTGTGTGTGGGGGGTGTGTGTGTTCGGTCAGTGGCACACGTCACGGCACAAACTTTAGAAGTTCCTCCAGAGTTCCAGCAGATTCCACCCAATTCCATCAAGGGATCGAGATGAACAACTCCACCTCGCCAGCGGTGGACTGGGGTGACGACTCTGCGGGGGAGATGGACTCTGAGGACGCAGCGCCTTCCTCCTCCGTGGGCATGGGCGTCGGCATCACCATCGGCAGCATGATGGAGGTCGACGCCGACGACCGCCACTGCCCGTCCGCCCCCGACGCCGACTTCTTCAACGCCTTCTCCGACGACTTCGACGACCAAGACCTCGACTGACTGCAGCCACCGCCAATGCTTTGCTCGCCCGGCCCCCTTCCACCAGGTACCTTGGAACTGGATCTAGGATACGGATTCACGATCCGATGCACAGTACTATAGCACGTCTTCTATTCGCAATCTAGCTTCACCGCATTACTTTAGCCGCACAATTTGCTATGGAGTACGTGCTCAGTCAATTGTCCAGCACCTGAAGCTTTGCGCTAGTGGAATTGTATGTATGGTCGAATTGGGAACCTGCTCAGTTGTTAGTTCATTGTCTGGAGGAACCACCTAGTAGTACAATGTTTCCTTATTAGTAATACTTTGTGCAGACATTTATGCTGGCTACTGTAGCAACTTACTTGACTGCGTGATTGCAAGTGTCTTCCCGATCCCCACCTTCATAGCTGGGATTTATGATTTGCTCAATAGTGAACTATTCGTTTTTTTTTGGGAATAAGCCCATGATTATGAACGAACTATCTGTATTCATCTTCCATGCCATAATTTGGTATGGCGCTTTAACTTGCCTTCGGAACACTTGTATATGATGGATGAACACCAGCAATACTGTACGGTACAAGCGCGGCGACTCATGACCCAGGTCTCATCATCCATGGATTACTTTGTGCTTGTTTGAATCTAAGGGATGGGGATGGTTGCTCCAATGGGTATCCGCGGTTCTCCTCTAGTTTTCAACTCAAAGAACTAATTAGACAATTCATTTCCTCACTCATTTTTGTATATATAATTTATTAACTTGACCTAGAGGACATCCATGGATCGCTCCACCTCGTCCTTATTTGAATCCACTTGATTTATTTTTCCATTAACAACTGTTGTATTGTATCAGCATGTGCTTTCATTTATGTAACTAGGGCTGTTTTTGTGCTTTTGAACACTGAATTATAACAATCGACATAGAAGGTCGCTGACACATGTTCATTTTATTGATTCTCAGCTGGGGGTTGTATACGAACCTACGTACCAAGCAAGCACCAGTCATCCATCACATTGTCCTTGTGTTGCAGCTCTAGTGGTGTTGTATTGTCAGCTATGATCATGTAAGAACCTGACCTGGTACATTATGTACATAAGAATAGTAATGAAGATATATGTGGTATATAAGTTCATGGCAGAATGTTCTTGTTGGTTCGATCCTTTGCACGGTTGAGCAGTGTTGTAATGTGATGGTCGGATGGACTCGCGACTGCGTTGGTCGCATTTGTGATGTTTTTGCTTTTTATTGGTGAATGGTGAAGACAGATCTGAATGTACTTACTGATCATCAGCGTTTTTTACGTGTTCAGGTGCTCTTGCTTTCTCAGTTCCTCTAGTGTTCCTTACTAACTTGATGGAATGATATTGGAGTGAGTAGTTGATGTCGTGATGCCATGCAGATTTGTTTGTCAGAAAGACCTAGCAGCCTTCAATGTTTTGCTCTAACAATAAATCAGCAGTACTTTTCAGCACTACTTCAGCGATACTTTTCAGCACTACTTCAGCGGTATTTTTCAGTGAAAGAACAGTGTTTTTCTTTCACAACAAATCCGCATCAGCAACAGAAGCAGCTAAATTTCAGCGAAACGAACAGAGCCAATCTGGGTTTTACCTCCCTCCTATCCTAGAGCTCGGTTTTTATGTTGAAAATATAAGGGGAAAACGGGAAAACAAATAGGAGACAATCTTTCTTTGCCTGTAATGTACCTGAGATTTAATTGCAAAAATTAAGCAAATGATGAAATGCAGCAATAACAGGCTGCTAGTACATCCAAAATGAAACGATTGGGCTTCTTTTGTTGCTAGGCTTGGGCAGTCACATCTGGCCCAATGGGCTACATAACGAATTAAGGCTTTCCTTGCTTGGCCCGCCCGTCGTCCTCCCTCTTCTCCTTGATTGCTTGCATTGCATCCTCTGTCCATCTCTTCCCCCACTACGCAGTTCGGCTACCAAACGAAAACCCTAGCCGCCGCCGCTCTTCGTCGCGATGGGAGGCAAGTGCCCGCACCGCAAGGTCAAGAAGCGCCGCCTCTCGCACAAGACGGCGCGCCGCGGCAAGTTCCTCCTCAAGGCCGACGATGCCGTCTACGACGAGCTCGTCAAGCTGGCCGATCAGGGCAAGGACGCTGAAGCCAAGGAGCTCCCCGTCGACGAGGACCTCCCAGGCATGGGACAGTTCTACTGCCTCCACTGCGAGTATGCTGCCCCCCTCTCCCCTCTTTTCTGTCCCTTCCTTGCACCGTTCTGCTATTTCGTATCCTCTATCTACTAGGTATGTGCCCGTACATTGCTAGGGGCAAAAAATCAATGCCATATGTATTTCTCAATTAACACATTCAAGCAACGCTTGTGCTTATCATGGTTCCTAATTGAGCATTGGTGGAGCATGTGCTATAATTCATTCGTGGTAAAAAAAACAACTAATCTAGACCAGTTGGACTCTAGTGAATGATAAATCATGTTTATGTTTGCAAACTAATTTGAATTTCCATGTATGCATGATGTAAACCTTATCGTACTATCATGCAAAATGATCTTAAAATACTGAATGCTTATTGCTATTTCGTTATGCTCATGTGCCAACAATTATTATTTTTTGTTTCCCTTCCTGGACACAAAAGAATGGACGGGATAACATTTGTTGTGATTTTCCTGTGACACGAAATTGAATAAGTTTTTATCTATGATGTAAACATCTTTTATACCGATATGTAGAAACTGAGAACTATTCCTGCTGCACCGACTATAAAGCAGTTATAGCTAAATCTGTAGAGCTTCTTGTTGATGGGGATGTCTGCAAGAACCGACCATTTGGTATTTGCATTGAGTATGGACTGTGATTTCTTTCTTTGATATGCTTCACAATATCTAATTCTCTATTGGGGGTAAACCCCCTCATAAATCTGCTAAGCCCTCCTTGAAGTCTCTCTTTCACTCCTCTTTTCTCCCCCCTTATTTCTAAACTTTTCATACTGTTTCACCTTCCCTTAGTTATGTAAATCTAACAAATACCACAATAGTGGAAGCAACTACTGTATCTGTTCCCACAAAAAAATAGAGCAACAGGAAATCAAGATTCTTATCAATTTGTTCATCATTTGTTCCCACTTGGTTCAAGGATGATAAACCCCTCCTTGACCACCAACTTGCTTCAATTTGAAGGATGATAACACCAACTTACTTCATTTTTGGACTTGCAATATGATATTTATCTCATGCTCATCCACTTATAGATAAACCAATCCTTGACGACCACTCAGCCAAAGCAGGTCATGTCCCTGCACTCGGAACGCATCAGGCCTGCCATGGCGTACCTTGGACATCCTGCTGCTCCGCCCCCGATGTCGTGGCTCACCTTGGCCAGGACGGCTGGATCTCATGGAGGTGCGGCCGTGCCTGTGTGGAGTCGCCATCGCTTGGTCATTGCCTCCTGGGAGATCTGGCTGTGGGTGGGGAACCAGTGAGGGCTGGCCACCTAATTGATTGGGCACCGGGCGGTGGCGTCCTTGTAGCTCCGGCGTGGGTGGCACTTGGACCCTAACAGTAGTCACCTAGAATGAGGTGAGGGTGGAGGTGCAGATGGCAGTCAGGTGGTTGAGGGGGTGCGGATGGGTGGGATGTTTTTTTTTTAATGGGATGCTGATCACAGCCACTGGGGCTTCACCGCCCCTGTGGTAGATGGGTCCGTTTCATTCTTTTTAGTGGTATAGAAGAGATAGAAGAAGATAGAAGATCATACTAGCTGTTCCTGAACACTCTTGTATTGTCTTATCAGCAAACAGTAGGGCGATTTCAGTGAGCTAGGGTTGGTTCATCTGATGAATTAGTTGTATGTGCAGAATTTATAAGCTGCTGCCAATTTTTGTGTTGATATTAATAAACTGTGTGTTTCAGTTGAGTTGTCTGGTTTAGAGTAAAATGGTGAACTTCGGGTGATGGTTTGATGCTTCCTGGAATTTAACTGATAGTAGATGTCTTGAATTGATTTAGAGGGATTAGTAAAAATATGGCTATGATTTTGCTGGAGTTACTATGTTTGTGATGAACTGCACGTATCTTGTAAATGTGCTAGCTATAATCTAATCTTCTACTGATAATCATATATATCTGGTATTGTCTTTGGCTGCAGTCGCTACTTTGCAAGTGAAAGCGTGAAGGATGACCACTACCGCTCAAAGCGCCACAAGAAGAGGTGATTCATTCTGTTTGCTCTAAGTCTAAGTAATATCACGGTACAAATCATTCAGAGATAATGTTGGAGAAAATCTTCCCTGAACACATTTTATTTACGCTACCAGTTTGATTGGCAAACATATGATGTGGCCTGCACTTACTATGCTTGTTGCATGGTCATTCTCAATTGAAGAAAAATGAACCGGTTGGTTTATATTGCTAGGACAAATGAATTCAGATGGTTAGAATACTGTAATACAGCACTGTGCTGTTGACCTGTTATCTAGAGTAGAACCAGTTGATAAAACTTGGAGGGACCTTATTGTGTGGTTTGATTTAGTGTTGGTCCTGTGATAGTAACTGTAGGTTGAAAGCAGATATACTAGATTACCAGTATGATCTTTCCCGTCAGCAGAACATGTGAAAATCTGACGTAGGACAGGTTCTGGTACACGTGAGCGGCATAATTCTGTCTGCTGTGGCTTGTGCTTTGTCTAATCACAAGCTTTGGATGATTGTAGGGTCAAGGTAATGTCTGGGCCAGCTCCACACACGCAACTTGATGCTGAACTTGCTGCTGGAATGGGAAAGCCTGACAATGGCCTGAAGCTTATGTCCATGTGAAAGAACCTCTTGTTAGTACTTGTCCCGTGTTTTTGTTGCTGTCGTACATCTGAAGCTGCTTTGCTCAGTAATAGCAGAGTTAGTAGATGGTTTTTATTGTCCACAAGACTTTCGAAGTGGGGCTTGATCAGGAGGGGAGTTGTTTTAGAGAGGGTGTCAGGTGTCAATGTCTGTATCATGAAATCATTTACCGACCCATACTAGTAATGATGATGTCTCATATCATTTGGCCTCAGATTGTGCGTTATCTGCTAGGACTATGAAATAGTAGAGTTGGTTTTACAGCCTGTCTGGTTTGATGAACACAAGCTACCAAATGTTTGAGGTACCGGTACCGACGTACCGTCCCAACACTGGTAGGGTTCTTGCTACTTGTGTGATGTATGGTGGTACCACGAAATAAGACGGATGGACGCTAGAGGGCGGCCAGGACAGCAGCACTTGTCAGCTTCCATTCTTTGTGAAGATTTCCTAGATCTGTATGTATAGTAGTACATGATTCTGCCTGTGCTCTCCGTGATTCTGGTTTTGGCTGCTGATGCTGATGGCAGGGTCTATAATGGACAATTTTCCGTAGAGATGGAGAGATTCCTTGGCTGTTTTGTGCTCATTTCATTTTGGATCTATCATTTTGTACTGGGCAAACGCCATCCTTCCATCCTTGTCTCCTTGTCTGTGAAGCTCTTCTAAGGATGTACTCCAGCAAGACGGGACCATGCACAGCACGGCACGGCACGTCGGCACGAGTGAGCACATCGTAGTAATGGATGGAAATGACTGAACACATGTACAGCTAGGTAGGTAGACATATCCCTCCTCTGCTCTGCTCTGGAAAGAAGAAGCGTTCAGTACCAAATCATTATGCAGTTTCTTTGATCTCAAGCAAGCAATGGCTGAATAGTCAGGCGATCTATGTGTGTGTGTGTGGTGTCTGTGCTAATGATAAGATAGATCCATCTGCCATTGGTTGCGTCTGCTCTTGAGAGTTCAGACGCGCACACATAACACATGCGCCGGTGACTTGGCAAGGTCCTTTGTCCATCAGATCCAATCGTGCCTTGTTCGCTTCGTTGATAAGCCATGGCTGAAAGTACTGTTGGCTGATTTGTTGTGAGAGAAAAATACTGTTCGTTAGCTGAAAAAAGTACGACTTATAAGCCAAGCGAACAGGGCGTAGCGCTCATGCTACTGCTGCTGCTAATTGATGTGGCAATGAATTCAAAAGGTTGCTTGCCTTTGGTTTTACTGTTTGTTGGTTAAGCCATGGCCATCCATTCCAACCTCTGCCCTTTCTTTCGTTGACAGGTGGTGCACTGGTGCTGTTGCATGGGCATGGCCCAGAATTTGCTGGTGCTGATGGAACACCAGATCCAGATCGCTCTCGGTTCTCTCACTACCAAGGTTGTCTGTCTCTCAGGGGGTGGGTGGTGTTGCTAAGAAAGCCCAGCAAGATTCTGAGATCAGCAAATGCCCATGGAACATAGAAATGCAATTGGCACAACTCCTATGGAATGCATTTATACTTATACACCTCAATTCCATAGGAGATTTAGGACCCGTTTGGTTGAGCTAAGAGAAGTGATTATTTAACTGAAAATATTTTCCTATGATCGGATAAACTCTATGCATAGAATGACTCTAGGATCTAGAGTGATTAGGAGAAGCTATTTTTATTTTCAAACTCCTAGCCCCTAGTTCATTCAACTTGTAACCCCTAGTTCATTTCAGATAATCATTTCATAGAATCAGTATAGAATCACTTCTTAGTTAAAAAAATATTCGACGGAGCTGTTAGCATGGAAGGAGCTTTGAGAGCTCTACCAAATAAACAGGCCCTTAAAACATGAGCTCAAGCCTTCATGTTTTGAGAAGACCAATGCACACTCTGCTCCTTCCGTTGTACTACCTCCGCCCACAAAAGAATCTAATTATCGTTTTTCAAAAAGTCAAACCGTGTGAACTTCGACTAAATTTATATTAAAAAAAGTTACTAACATTCATGGTACAAAACAAGTATCATTAGATTAGTTATAGAGTATATTTTTATAATAAAATTATTTAAAGATATAAATGCTAATGCTATTTACTATAAATTTAGTCAAACTTAAGGGACATCAGGAGCATTCTATTCGTGTGTTGCAGAGGAAACCTTCGCTTGGTTGTGTTGCCAGGTAACACTAACAAGACAACAGTGCCTGGTGAGTGGTGACTGGTGAATGGCATGGACAGGGGCAAGTTCGACGAGGATAGGCTGGCTAGATTGGACACATCGGCGCTTGGGATTTGAACCGGGGAGGGACAGGGCAGAGCCGAGCAGACCTCTTTTTCGTTCTGTGAGCCCAGGCCCAGCCAGCCATGGTCCTGGTCCTACTCCGTCCCATCCGGCCTTGGGCGTTCATCTTCATGAGCAAGGGACCATGCGCCAATCCCTCAATTTATCCATTCTCAGTCCTATTGCCTGTTGGTGCCAGTGCTGCTGTTGGGGCACACCATCATGTGCAGCGAAGAAGAAACACACCAATAATAGTGGATTGGCAGCAGTGAAAGCAACCACTGCCTGAAATCAAATGCTGGAGGATGAACTCTCCATTGCATGTGACTCAGATGAGAGCCCATCATAGGTCAAACTCTTGGTCCCCGTTTTCCTGCAATCTTGCCATTTCTTGCATTGCCGCTAATAGTACATCCCTGAGCCCTCCCCGGTCGTCTGCAAACCTGCTGCTCAATTGACTTCAGGAACACAGGCTCAATTCATTAGGCAGATTGAGATGGCTATGCCACTGACAATTCGGTAGATATTCCCGGGATCCTGTCGAGAGCAGCATAATATAGTGTAGAGAATGCTGTTCTCGATCGGTTCTTGGGTGTGCAGTTTGGTCGGTCCGGAGTTGAGACTTGGGACTTGTTTAGACGAGGGTTGGAAATAAGTATTCGGCATTGTAGTATTTTCGTTTATATTTGATAATTATTGTCCAATCATAGTCTAATTAGGCTCAAAAGATTCATCTCGTAATTTACAATCAAACTATGTAATTAGTTATTTTTTTATCTACATTTAATACTCTATATATATGTCCAAAGATTTGATGTGATGAAAAGAGAGTGAAAAAACTTAAAATCTAAACAAGACCTTGAGAGACGTGCTCACTGCTCACCACTAAGCTCGTTCAGCTGGGGCTGGCTAGCTGGTTGGGCTGGCCAGCCCCTACAAAAAATATTGTTTATCTAAATCAGTCAGTAGTACTTCTCTCTCGTATAAATAAATCATTAACGATACGAACCAGTCAACCGAATAGGCTGATCCGCTTCTTGTCTGCCTGCAAAGGATGGGAGTGTCCTCGCAAAAGAGAAGAAAAAAAAAAGGACAGTGGATAGATACTGTTCAGCTCCTCTGCTCGCTGGGGGTGGGGGGTTGTTGTTTGTTTCTGCGGGTCGCTTCTAAAATTCATGTCACATCGAATATTTATATATTAATAAAAAATATTAAATATAGATTAATTACAAAACCAATTACATAGATGGAGGTTAATTTGCGAGACGATTTTTTTAAACCTGATTAATCTATCGTTAGCGCATGTTACTGTAGCACCACGCTGTCAAATCATGGACTAATTAGTCTTAAAAGATTTGTTTCGTGAATTAGTCGTAAGTTGTGTAATTAGTTTCGTAATTAGTATATATTTAATACTTCATGCATGTAAACATTAAACATTCGATGTGACAGGAATTTTATGAGCCCATGTAAAAACCAAACAGGGCCTGACTGATAGCAGCAATCATTCATGCATTACTTTATTTGTTTCTGCTATTGCAAATAACTGAATAAGGAGTAAATCTGCTATTTGGTACTGTAATATAAGGGGCTAACTAATAAGTAGAGTACTAGTACATATGATCTGGGGTTCCTTAGGAGCTAGCCGTTGTCTACTTACAAGGAAGGATCAATTCCCATCTCTGACACTGTATATAGATAGATGCTGTTGCTTCTATCTGTTCCACATCTCAGTCCCAGCTAGCAGATGAGAAACAAGAAGAATGAGAAGCAAGAAAAGTCAAAAAAAAAAAGTGAAGGTTTACATCATCCTAAAACCTCAACTCAAAGAGATCATCATCAAATTGTACAATCATATGAACCACCGTGTTTTCTGCTTCTTTTTTCTTTTCCCTTTGCGATCCTGCAGTATCATCATCATTTGCTCCGGAGCTTCAGCTTCCTGGTTCATCAATCTCTCTGGAACGAAACTCATCCATGATCCATCAATCCATCCTACGCGGGGTCCCCGTTGGACGACGACGACGACGGCCCGGGCGCGGCACCGCCTGTCAGCCGCTGCAGCTGCAGCATCCGCGCGTAGCACCCGTCGGGATGGTGCTTGAGCAGGTGCGAGTGCGACCCCTGCTCCACCACCTTGCCGTCGTCGATCACCGCAATGGTGTGCGCGTTGCGCACCGTGGCCAGCCGGTGCGCCACCACGATGGTGGTGCGCCCGGACCCGGCGCGCTCCAGCGCCTCCTGCACGCACCGCTCCGACTCAGCGTCCAGCGCGCTGGTCGCCTCGTCCAGCAGCATGATGGCCGCCTGCTTCACCAGCGCGCGCGCGATCGCGATCCGCTGCCGCTGCCCGCCGGACAGCTGCACCCCGCGCTCGCCCACCTGCGTCCGGTAACCCTCCGGCAGCGCCGAGATAAACCGGTGCGCGTTCGCCTGCGTCGCTGCCTCCACCACCTCCGCCTCCGTCGCGCCCTCGCGCCCGTACGCAATGTTGTCGTGGATGCTCGCCGCGAACAGGAACGGCTCCTGCGGCACCACCGCCACCACGCGCCGCAGCGCCCGCAGGTTGTACTTGCGCACGTCCTTGCCGTCCAGGAGCACGCGCCCGGACGTGGGCTCGTAGAACCGCTGCACCAGCGCCAGCACCGAGCTCTTGCCGCACCCGCTCGGACCCACCAGCGCCAGCGTCTTGCCCGCGCGCGCCCGGAGGCTCAGGTCGCGGAACACC